CTTTCTTTCTCTTTTTGTCGCTTACTGTCCTCCTTCCTCTCTTTCTCCCCTCCCCCCATAACCCCATGATCTTGAAAACCGACGCGCACGTGCCTCAGTGCGATATTTATCTGGGTCGGAGTGTGAGTAGAGGAAGATACTGGGAGGCGTGGGAAAACACCCTGAGCATTCTTGGGTCTGCGTCGTTAAATTCGCTGATGCAAAAAAATAAAAGCTAGGAAAAAAAAAAGCAAACCGAAAAATCCTTCAGCCGCTGCCGGTCACAGTTTAAGAAGTAAATGCCACGTTTCATTTGGTTTGGGCTGTGGGCTCGTCTGTTTATATTCCGTCTTCCTTGTTTCTTTGTTTGTCGCAGAGCGAGTGTACCCCTTCCAGTCCGGGTTGGGCCCCGATAGGCAGGGCCGAAGCCCGCTTACTAAATGATCTAAATCGTATTGATGGAGTCGTAAAACGCAGAGAGAGAGAGAGAGAGAGAGAGAGAGAAATATTGTATACTATATTGTTGTTATTATGATTATTATGATTTTCATGATTATTATAATTATGATGATGATGATGATGATGATGATGACGATGATGATGAGGATGAAGATGATGATGATAATGATGATGATGATGATGATGATGATTATTAGTATTATTAAAATAATTATTATGATTAGCCCTGACTGTACATAAAAAATGCTTAGATCAACATGTGAACGTTTACCCACCAGGAGTTCTTGATGTCCCGCAAGTTTTCCCCCGTGGGCCGCATCATCAAAGGCGTGGGGATCACCATACTGGACAAGGACGGCAAAGTCCAGCCTGTCGGGAGATCAGGAGAGGTGACCAGCATAGCTCAGAACATCGTTTTTTTCTTATCTTTCTTTGTATTGATTTTTTTTTTTTTTACTTTGTTCTTTTTTAAACCATGCGTTTTTTACAACCCCTATCGACACAATTAATGTTGTTAGATTATTTAGGAGGTGGTCTTCCGACCCTGCCTGTCTGGACAAACCCGTGATAAGATGGTTACATCCCAATAGAAAGACCGAATTACACGGTAAAAATGTTTTTCTCACCTGGGAATCGAACTTGGGTGTCCTGAGTGCGATAGTTAACCGTTATACCACTAATGCCGGTACAGAATAGTTATATAAAAAAAAACCCACCCAGTATACAAATTTAGCTCGCACTAAATGAAATCGCTGGACCGCTGAAATCTTTTCGTTTTGTACGAGTTTTACTTTGTACGTTTTTGTAATACAAAGAATTACGTTATTCATATACATGTATTATGTATAAGAAAACAAATCTGTACCAGAAACGTTGTGCGTTATGTGCATGTTTGTTGTTTGAACTCAACTCGATTGTAACCCTATCATAATATGAATTTTTAATCAGTCTGCCGAACAACCGATGAATAATAAAAGAAATTAGTAAGCAAAATCAGCTGAGTTTGTTGGATGACAGTCAAAAGCACCACTAGCGATACATCTTTAATGTAAATGATTATTATACAGAATCTGCACACTCTAGCAGCGGATCTGTGTGTGATTGGAGGGTGCCACTGGTCCTACTACTTTATGCACCCTCTGTTGTCTTCGTCTGTCTGTCTTACTTTTTTCCAGCCCCAAATGACCATTATTTTTGTCCATGTGCTTTTCCTTACTCGAACAAAACATTACTTTTTCCCATAATATCCATTATTGTGTTGATGTTCTTCTCTTTACTCAAACGAACAAACAAACAAACAAACACACAAACAAATAAACACAACAGTGGATCTAATTATTGAATCTGTTTTTCCCGTCCTGTGTGGTCAATTGTCAGATTTACGTCAGTGGGCCCACACTGGCTCGAGGATACATCAACAGGCCGGAAGTCCAGAAACAGCGTTTCATTACCATGGATACAGGACAGGGGGAACAAACGTGAGTGGCTCTGTCTCCTTTCCTCTATCCATCCCACTTGTTTGTTCGTTTGGTTGTTTGTTGTTGATTTATTGTTGTCTTTGCTTTTTTTCGGGGGATGGGGGGGGGGCAGTTTGTTTCTTCGTTTCTTTGTTTTGTTTTTGTTTGAGTTTATTTTTGTTTTTGAATTACTGGACTTATTTTTGTTACTCTTCTCAAGAACTTATTCAGAGAGAGA